TTCTCATTCTGAAGGTTGTCTGTTTGCTTCGGTTGTTGTTTCCTTAACTGTACAGAAGATTTTCAGTTTAATTAAGTCTCATTTGTTTATTTTTGTTGTTGTTGCAATTGCCTGGAAGTCTTCTTAGACAACCTGTTTGATATAATAAAAAAATATATAAAAGATATAATTATATAGATAGATATATAATTATATATCTTTTCATTCAGCAATTTAAGTAGGTAGTAAATACAACTGACAGAGCAAGGATATATGTATATATAATAATGATAAAGCTCTTTCCAGAATAAGAATGAATGTCCCTGCCCTAACCTGACAGCTAATTTATAAAGAACAAGGAGAACTGGATTAAGCTTTATAACTTGATAGCTGAGCCAATAAGAACTCAATTTCAGAAATACATATACTAAAATGATAAGGGTAGTGGTGGTGGTGGTGATGACCTTATTTAGGTTTTTTCATTTTTTTCCAATCCTGGAAACCTAAACAAGAGGGATATATAGCTCCATAAAGCTCTGAAAGAAGAGCCATTAACTGACTTGGTCTTGAGGGTGGATTAAATAGATACACTTCTCACTTTTATTTTTGAGGTTATATTTCTACTCTTCCCCTGTTTTCTGCTTGTTTGCCCTCCAAGATTACCTAAAGACAAGGTTTCCGGCCCATTCTCTGTGTTCTCAACAGTCACCAAAGATTAACAACTTTCTGCTTCTTCAGGATGAGGTCATTTATGAGTCACTGTTTTTTCTTTTATTGTTTGAGATTCAAAGAATTAAGTTACACTGATTGCATTTGTTAGATAAAGTCCCTTTTATAATTGTGTCCTGCCTCCAAGAGGTGTGCCATACACCAGAAGTTCCATACCCCTGTCTCCTCCCCTATCCCCAATTTCTCATTCCTCTATGCTTCCTTTTATTAGCTCATTTACTGTCTTCATACTAGAATAGAGTACTCTGGATTATTGTTTCTCCATTCTTGTGATGTTTTATTAAGAAGAATGTGTTCCACCTCCATCCAGGTTAATATAAAAGATGTAACGTCTCCAACATTTTTAGTGACTGAATAGCATTCCATGGTATGCATATACCACAACTTGTTAATCCATTTCAGGGTTGGTGGGCATTTAGGCTGTCTCCATTTTGGCAATTGTAAATTGAGCTGCAATAAAGTCTAGTGCAAATGTCCTTAAGATAAAAGGAGTTTTTTTCTTATGGGTAGATGCTTAGTAATGGGATTTCAGGATCAAATGGGTGATCTAAGAAGACTTCCAGGCAATTGCAACAACTACAAAAATAAACAAATGAGACTTAATTAAACTGAAAATCTTCTGTACAGCTAAGGAAACTATAATGCAAACAGATAACCTGCAGAATGGAAACAGATATTTGCATATTATGAATGAGACTAAAGCTTGATAACTAGAATCTACAGTGAGCTCAAATTAATCAACAGCAAAAAAAAAAAAAAAAAGACCAAACAATCCCATACATCACTGGGCAAGAGACATGAATAGAACCTTCTCTAAAGAAGACAGACAATGGCTAACAAACATATGAAATATTGCTCATCGTCCCTAATCATCAGAGAAATGCAAATCAAAACTACCTTGAGATATTACCTACTCCCAAGTGAGAATGGCCCACATCACAATGTTTCAAAGCTGTAGATATTGGTGTGGATGTGGAGAGAAGGGAACACTTTTACATTGCTAGTGGGACTGCAAAGTAATGCAATCTTTTTGGAAGGAACTATGGAGAATCCTCAGAAAGTCACTGGTTTTTGTTGTCCAAAAGTCCTGTTGGTTATATCATCCTGATTAAGTTGCCCAAAGAATGAAAGGAAAGGCAAGTTAGTGGTGGCCCTTTCTTTTAGAGGTGATAAAGTCCATTAGGAACAATGTTAAACCAAAGGCAGATAAAAACCTGGGTTCTAGCCTTAGCCTTTGGGCAAGCTAATTCAGTCTTTCCAGTTGTCCCCTTACTGGAGCTGAAGGATGTTTGAAAGACAGTAAGGCAGTATTTTTTTCTTTTGTGACAGAATCTCACTTTGTTGCCCTCAGTAGAGTGTCATGGCATTACAGCTCATATCTAATTCAGTCTTCCCAGTTGTCCCCTTACTGGATCTGAAAGATGTTTGAAAGATAGTAAGGCAGTATTTTTTTTCTTTTTCTTTTTCTTTTTTTTTATTGAGACAGGGTCTCACTTTGTTGCCCTCAGTAGAGTGTCATCGCATTACAGCTCATAGCAACCTCAAACTCTTTGGCTTAAGCGATTCTCTTGTCTCAGCCTCCCAAGTAGCTGGGACTACAAGTGCCCCCCACAATGCCTGGCTAATTTTTAGTGATGGGGTCTCGCTCTTGCTCAGGCTGGTCTTGAACTCTTGAGCTCAAAAATACACCCGCCTTGGCCTCCCAGGTGCTGAATTACAAGTGTGAGCCCTAGTGCCAGGCCCTGTAAGGCAGTATGTTTATCAGCAATGCTCCAGAGAAAAAGTCCCTAGCTGAGTAGGAAAAGGAAAGAAAACTGAGATACAAGTGGCAGCCTCTGTCACATACACTATGGTTTTTAATCTACTCTCAAATCTTTTAAGATAGAATTATTAATATGCATGCTATAGGGAGGAAAATCAAAGCCCAGTGTCATGTAACTAGTAAGTGGTGTTAATAAGGTTTCAAAGCAAGCCTTTCTATTACCTCCAAACCATCATGGTCTCTATCAGTTTAAAATCCAAATTAAAGATCATTCTTTTTGCCCAGTTATTATCACACTGGGCAACAGACATATGCTTAATTACTGCTTTTCTTCACAATGAAGACAATACCAAAGAAATAAGACATTATCCCTGCAGCCATCCATTTGGAGATAGATGATTTATGCTTCCCCAGTACATAGGGTTACAAAAAAAAAAAAAGGCCACTGAAAGCTCTGCCACGTGCCTGAGCAAATGAATTCACTCCAACAGTTGCAACATTTTGGTTCAGTCATCTACCTACACACAGAAGAACCAACCACCTTGGCTACTTCTTAAAGGGCCAGGGCAGGACCTAGGCTCAAGGATCCCCTCCAACCAAGCTCAGCCATTCCTTTAAAGAGCAGGCAGGCCCAAAGCAGCCCCTCCCTGGCGGCTGCTTTCAGAGCCTCTAGGACATTAATCCCCTGCTCCTCTTCCTTTTTAAAGAAGCATCTCTAAATACCCGCTACTGCTTTAGGGGGTTATCTGTGAGCTTTGGCCTTCTGAATCCTGTTCTCTCTATCCGTGACTTTGGCTGTGGGGTTAAGTGAAAGACAAACCTTGCCGCTTGAGGATTCCAAGCGCCAAGCCAGGGCAGACTAAGCTAAACAAATCAATCCATTTTTGCCTCTTTCACTTCTGCCACAAAGATTCCTCAAAGTACCCCCTCCCCTTCTTAGCCTCTCTTTGCCCAACCCTTTTAGGAAAGTCATTTTACTTTGAGTTTCTCTTGATTCCACATAGCGTTCTTATCCTCCCACCCCCCCCAACCACTGTTAAAATCCAGAGAAGTGTGGTGCATAGCAGGGAACAGGAAGGTCAGGGAGAGAGAGAGAATCTAAATAGAAGAGACAGGAGTGGGTGAGTTCTAATCCCGGAGTCACTTACCGCCCATGTCACTAGCTGAGGACTCCTGAAGTGTCTAGAGCTCATGCTGTCCTCCAGGAGGCTCATACTCCTTAGTTGATCAAAAGACAGCTGTTGCCCTCACAGCGTCCCTGTGTGGCAGCACGCCAGGCAACACTCTCTCTCCTTTCCTTCTTGTCCCCCACCACCTTTTCTCCTGGCTAGAAAATGGAAAGGAGGATGGGGGATGGGAGGTTCAGACACAGCTGGGCCACCCTCAGTACAAGGGAAACAAAAGCTCTCAAGCATCCAACCCAAAAATCAGGGGCTGGTAAAGAATACTCCTAAAAAGAAACCTCCCCTTCCCTGCAGCCTTTCCTCAGCTAAAAATAAAGTGGGTTCGCTGGGCTGAAGTGGCCAAGACTTAAGATCCTCCGTTTTCCTTTTACTTCCACCAATTTAGTTTCCAGCCAAGCCCACTCTCCATCCATCCTTTGAAACTCCACACACCCTTCAAAAGGAGAGGACCTTGGAGAGGTTAAGAATACCAACCCAAATCCCAAAGCACCACTTGAACACAAAGTTGAAGCGGAGAAGGAATCCTTCAAGACAGGAACCCACCAGAATATATAACAAGAGGATCCCTTCACCGCCGATGTTGCAACTGCACACCCCAGCGCCTTCCTAAAAAGAAAGAAGGGAGGAGAAAATGCTGACGATTGGTAGAAGCATAGAACACCAGGCCAGGCTGGAGCTTCAGCGAAAAATGGCAGCAACTCGTGCAGGTCCTCTCGGGGGTGGGGGGGGGAATGTTTCTTGTAAGTACCTAGCTGCCCCACTGGGGACCTCGCTCCACACGCGGATCGGAACCTAAAGTGATCTCTGGGCAACCTGAGCGGGTGGAGTGACTTCGCCTTTCTCCCGCCCGGCTAGGCCCAGAGGAGAGGTGTGACTATCGGGAGGACTCCACCTAGGGTGGAGCTCCCTAAAAGGACAGGCAGCCAGTAGAGGATCGTGCAAAGTGGGAGGAGATGGAGAAGGGTGGAGCTGAGAAGGCGGAGGGAGGAGGGAGAAGGGAGGGGTGGGGCGGGCCCTGAGCTGAGAGTGAGGCCTCGCCCCTGGCTGCTGCCTCTCTCGGTCTCCAGCTGCGGCAGGCACAACTCGATTCAGTTTAAATTCCTGATCTATCGAAAATGCGGCTGTGAGCACACTGCTTGTTCACTTATTTACTCCGGTTATGCTAACTCTCCAGGGGAGAGTGAAACGGTTGTGGAGATTGGGATTGGGAAGTGTCTAGGAAGAAAGGGAGGGGAAAAAGGGGAAAGCAAAAAAGCTGGAAACTCGAAATCATATTTGCCCTCCTAATTCTCTATGGTTACAGTATAATGAGATCGCAGTGTCTTCTCTGGGAGGAAACTAAAAGGAAAAGAGATTGGAGCTAGGTGCATTTTCTAGTAAGAGATAAAGGGTGAAGGTGACGGAGTGGATGGAGAAGGAGGTACTGAAGATGAATTGCTGCAAATACAGTGCAGCCCGGCAGGGAGACTTATGAAAGGCTTTTTCAGTCTCCCAGATACCAGACCTCTAAGAATAGAGTGCCTCAGAGGCAGGCATTGGTGAAGATCTCTGTAGAGCTGTATCCATAGAATAGGAGCAATATTTCCAAGGATTTCTTTACCTTTGCCTGAAAAAGTCCCTCTCTAGTTCATTTTAATGGGAGTCCAGGAAGTCATAAGCCACCACAGCCCCTTTTCAGTGTCTCTTCTCTACCATAATTCTTTTAAAGAAGAGGAGAGGAGAGACGAGAAACAAAGCAGGGAGGGAGCAGCAAGACAAGAGAAATTATAATAGCTGTTATATATACAACACCTAATATGGATAAGTCACTAGGCCAAGTGCTTTTACTTTCATCCCTTTTCCATTTATTCCTGGTAACAACTCTGGAAAGTAGGTACTATTATACTCTCTGTGCTCTTTTTGTATAAATGGAGAAATTGAGGGTCTCACTGTACTATATCTCTTTACCACCACCTGCATGACTGCCCAACTTACAAGATAATATATATATATATATTAATGTGGAACCATATAGACAAGTGTGCAACTCTCGATACACTCTTTATTTTTATTTATTTATTTATTTATTGAGACAGAGTCTCACTATATCATCCTTGGTAGAGTGCTGTGGCGTCACAGATGGCAGCAACCTCCAACTCTTGGGCTTAAGCGATTCTCTTGCCTCAGCCTCCAGAGTACTTAGGACTAAAGGCGCCCACAAAAATGCCCAACTATTTTTTGGTTGCAGTTGTCATTATTGTTTAGCAAGCATGGGCTGGGCTAGAACCCTCTAGCTTTGGTGTATGTGGCCAGCACCCTACTCACTGAGCTATGGGGGCTGAGCTTCTGCCTCCCCTTTAAAAGAAGAAAAAGAATCACTTATACCTTGGAGTCTTAGTTTGTCAGTGTACACAATTTGGGGAATATTACTTAACATAGGATTCTCAGCATTCTAACCAAGAGTGTTATCAGCAACACTGCAAAACTTTCTCTTAGATTCAAGGGTGTGAAGGACATTGAACTGTTTATATCGAGAATGAGTGCATGTTTGTAATTTGCAGATGAAGATGAGTAGATAACTGAAGTAAAATTTTGAAAAGAGTGGCCACTAGAATTCCTTGTCTAGACTGGATGTGTTTTAAGGTCATCAGTTCCTTGTCTAATTTGGAAAAACTTCTCAAGAAAGATGTGCAGATAGCTAAACAGTTTATATTTTATTAAAATTCCTTCTTGTTAAGTAATCCATTTTAAGCCCCAGTTTTTTGTTTATTTTTTTTTAAATAATGCCTCAAATTTATTTGTGGGGAAACTTTGACCTTGGATGGAAAAGTTAATTTTTGGAAAATATGAAGTAAATTATTGAAACTTGGGGGAAAGGTGAAGATTCTGACGCATACATTCTTCCATCCATTTAGTCAATAAAATGTATGGTATATTAAGAACACCTAGGTGTTTTTGAGGAAAATGAGAACATTTATTCTGTCAAAGAGGCTCCAGTGGAGGGCCCCCTAGTTTCACTATACACAGCCTTTTACTCCACATAATGCCTTTAAGTGTTTTAGATATAGTTTCTGTCTGACTCAAATTAGGACCCAAAGGTGATTCACAAGAAACTATGTACCTCATGACCACAGTTATTAATGGCAAAGGCAGAATCTTTTCCTTATATTATTTGCCTCTTGACACATCAATAATTAGCATGTGACTGGTGTCTGTGTCACAGGAAAGGGTATGAGGGAGCAGGTATGGAGAACTAGAAGTCATTATAAGTTTCCCTCTCTTTCTAGAAAGTACCACAGACTCTCCTTTCCTTAGGTGGCTCAAGAAATAAACCAAATAGTAACCTGCAATATGTTCAACTCCTTTCATCCCACCCTAGCCCTCAGGAATATTGACTGCTTAAAAAAGTAGCCTGTGCTTTCCTCTCTATAACCAAAAAATCAGATGAGGAGTATAAAAATTAAATTAAACATGGGACCTAATGAAAGGCAGACGAGTTTGCAGACACTACATGCATCAAGTCCCAGAGGTTGCTGTTCTTTTCTGCCCTTCTTTCTTTTCATCCTCCAGCTTCTCCTCCCTCTTACTTTTCCGAAAGCTGGCTGAAAAACTACCAGGGTGGAAGTCGGTCTCAGGGCTGAAGGAAGGGGAGTAAGAAAAGCTTCAGTCAGAGGACTTCACCCTCCCTGCTCCCAAAAGAACAACAGGAACAATAAAAGAAGGCTTAACAATAAACAGAGGCTGAGAGGAAGGTGGAGAAGAATAGGGCTAAGTGAGAAAAGTGGGAAGATGAAAGAGAAATTAAGGGCCTAGGAGGGTGAAGCTAGCCTTGAGGAGGGAGGTGTCAGGCAGTATACACACAGAAAAACCTGTATCAGGGAACAATAAAAATGTAGCTGAAACCAGGGCACAACTCAGACCTATGGTCTGAGAATAAGACTGTTCTCCTCACCTACTTTTGTTCTTGCTCTGGAGTTTCCCAAAAGGAATATTCCTCCTGCTAACTCAGCTAAAAGGACACCTTTGCTCCTCTGCTAATATCAAACCCTCTTAAGTTCTTCACTTAGCTGAGAGGAGGAGGCCTGTAAAGAGATAGTGCAACATTGGGCGAGTGACTTCACATCTCTAAACATCAGTTTCCTCACCTATTTCTTTTAAAGATATACTGCTAGTACCTCATAGAATTATAAAAAAAATTAAATATGTGACAAAGATACAGAGGTGGCTTTACAGTTAAACTAATAAAGTTTAGGATTTGGGCCCCCTTCCCAAGACTCTGGACTCTGGGAAGGATCAAACCTTGTATTTTTCTTTTCTTTTCTTTTCTTTTCTTTTCTTTTCTTTTCTTTTCTTTTCTTTTCTTTTCTTTTCTTTTCTTTCTTTCTTTCTTTCTTTCTTTCTTTCTTTCTTTCTTTCTCTCTTTCTTTCTCTCTTTTTTTTAGACAGTCTCACTATGTCACTCTCAGTAGAGTGCTGTGGTATCATAGCTCACAACAACCTCAAACTCTTGCGCTTAAGTGATTCTCTTGCCTCAGACTCCCAAGAAGCTAGGACTATAGGCACACACCACAATACCTGGCTATTTTTTTGTTGCAGTTGTTTAGCTGGACCAGGTTGGGTTCAAACCCACCACCCTCAGTGTATGTGGCTGGCGCCATAACTACTGTGCTATGTGCGCTGAGCCAACCTTGTATTTTTCTTAAAGAGGGCCCCTAACATTGTATAAGCTTCAGGCCCACAAAATCAGCTGTGACAAACAGTGTCTGACACAAAGTAAGCTCTCAAATAAAAGTTAACTATATTTCATAGCAATATAAGCTATGAAAACTATCACCTTTGAATTGACTATCTTTCTTACACTATAGCTGCTGAAACCATGCCCTCATATTCTCCATAACCCTGTCTCTTGATATATAAATAAACCAATTTATAAAAATCAACAATTAAACTGCTTGCTTGAGACAGAAGCATGATTAAAATCAGCTTGGGAAGATCAATGGGCCAGAAGCACGTGACCAGTGTTGGAAATTCTGGCATAGCACCATCTTGGACAAATTCTAACAGGCCTGCTGAGTCTTATAAATTTGAGTGTGCCTCAGGCTGCTCACTTTATGAGAAAAGCGCTTGAATAGGGAAGGGTGCATGTGTGTATGTATGTTCAAGATAGAGGAGTAGGTATGCATGGATTTTTTCACACAATTTTAGAACCTAAAAACTGCCATGCCTATAAATTGGAGGAAGGAAGAGACTTTATAATCAGCAACAAAGTAA